CATTACCTTCATACCAAAGTCATAAGTTCAGATGTAGAACTCACTCCCAAAAGGATAGTCAATAGGAGGAACACCCAACTTATAAACCACCGATCAAGCCCATACTTGATCGGTGTTGGTTCATTACAATACCCACGATTCACGACTCTGAGTGTTGGGACAAAGAAGATTAAGATGACTCTGATACCAATTGTTACGGACCTAACTCATACTAGGTCCATATCAAAGCCATAAGCTCAAATGTAGAACTCACTCTCAAAAAACTAGCTAATAAGAGGAGGGAACACCCAACTTACAAGTCAACGGTCAAGCACATACTTGATCAGTGTGGGATCATTACTAGATAATCGTTACAAATAAATGTTATAGACTAGCCCTTGACCTTTATTACCTAATCTCACAATTTTACCTCATGTAGTTATGTAAGCTGGTCTGTGTGTTCGCTAGAAAATCAATATTAAAATGTGTATTTTTTATTCGTAGAGAAAGAAATTAATCATTGGGGTTTAACATTTTCTGATAAAATTCTAAAGGTCCTAGGCCTCGAAACAACCAAAGACAATACATGTTGGTTAATATATGTGTCCTTATGTGTTGTGGGATCAATCGCTTCAACAATCAGAATGGGCCGTGGTGTGGGGTACACCTTTTATTTCAGGAATATAATCTAAATAAAAGTCTCAATGTTCTCAAGGTCATCATCATTTCATATCCTTGAAAACAATAGTCCTAAACAAGATCCCGGCCTGTTTTATTTTTGTTTCAATTATTATCATTATTATTATTATTTGCCTTGGGACATAGAGATCATATACAGGAGTGTCTGCAAAAGTTTTCAGGTCATTTTCAGTTTGTTGCTTTAAAAAATTGAAAAATGAGTGTTTTCAATCATGTACTTGCCCAAAAATTTAAGTAGTTTGAAGCTAAAAGCTGTAAACACGGAATCTGTTTTTCACATTTTGTATTACATGAAAAGAACTTTTCCACTAAACATTCTAGCTTTTGCTTTTTTTAAATCACTTTTACTTTCAAACATACCTAAACTTTTACTAGTAGTCACTTTTCATACATCTCTAAAATTCATTAGTTTTTCAAAAGTAGAAAGTAATGGAACAGTAAATCAGGGGAGCTAAATCGATATATATTCATGAATAACTCAATAAGAATGATTCACTTTTTTTGCTGACAATAGAAAAGATTTTATCTATCAGGCAGTCTAAAATGGAAAAATAATCTCCAAATATTACCAAAATTCTCCACACGAACACGACCCATCCTTAAAATGGTGAAACCGGTTATAGTCTCTAACAATGATCACCCTACCAGTTACTTTAGAAGCAAACTTCATAAAAGAATGGCAGTCCCCACATATTCTTAGGTTCTTCATTATTCGTATAGGCAAACCACCAGGAAGAGACATTAACCCGAATGTAAGAGCAAGTTTCTCACTATGGTGTCTTAACAGTTCTTTCTTTCTGTTTATTTCTACATCATGGAGCTCATGCTCTATCTCACCTTTGTACCCTACCTTCTCCATCTCCTCCATTAATTTTTCCAACTCCAAATAAATCTCCTTAATCCTAGGATGTTCTCTTTCGCCGACCATGAACGAGTGAACCTTGTCTTTGATTTCAATCCAACTCTTCCCTCTCACCTTCTTTACTTCACTGTCTTTAAGAAGCTTCCTTGTTGATGCCACGTCAGCCCATCTCTTATTTGCTGCATAAATGTCGGAAAGCAAAACATAGTTTCCAGCATTATTAGGCTCGATCTCAAATAGACGCTTAGCGGTGACTTCTGCCACCTCTACATTTCCATGCACCTTACACGATGCCAAAAGTGATCCTAACACAGATGCATTGGCTTCGAATGGCATTTCTTCTATTAAATCCTTAGCTTCGTCGATTAGTCCTGCCCTTCCAAGCACATCAACCATGCACGAATAATGGCGGATGTTTGGGGATAAGCTATGTTCTTTAGACATCATTTCAAAATATCTCTTCCCCTCTTCAACCAATCCCATGTGGCCACATGCCGATAGAACGGAAGCATAAGTGGCTTCGTTTGGGTGAATTCCAAATTGTTGCATTTTCTCAAATAGTACCATAGCCTCTATGGGCCTAACGTGTTTTGCAAGGCCCGTTATCATTGCATTCCATGTCACGACATTCTTCTCATCAGCATTTGAAAACACTATATAAGCTTCTTTGAGGTTTCCACACTTCGCGTACAAGTCTACTAGTGAAGAAGCCACAAACACATTGGAGCCAAACCCCATTTTCCAAACTATGGCATGCAATTGGGTTCCTTCTATCAAAGCAGACAAAGTTGAGCAAACAGAAAGAACTGAAGAAACGATGAACTGGTCGTGCTCCAATCCAGACTTTTGAGCTTTATGAAATAAAGACAGAGCTTCTTCGAAGAGATCGTTTTGTACATACCCCGTGATCATTGAAGTCCAAGTGACCTCATTTCTTTCGAAGATGCGATTGAAAATCTGAGAAGCGTCTTCAATTAAACCACTCTTTGCGTATACATCTATCAATGCAGTACCTACATATACATTCAACTCCATGGACACCTTCACCGCAAAAGCATGCAACTGCTTACACTCAAACACAGCGAATTTAGCAGCACAAGCGCATAGAACACCAGAAAGTGTGAATTCACTGAACTGAGTCCTCTCCTTCTGCATCTCCACAAACAGTTTAAAAGACCCTTCCTCGTGTTGGCTCCGGGTATACGAAGCAATAAGGGTGTTCCAGGAAACGAGACTTCTTTCCGGCATTTCATCAAACACCTTGCGGGAGTACTCCATTAGGCCGCACCTGCTGTACAGATGGATGAGCATGTTAGCAGTCAAGACGTCTGCTTGGAACCCGAGCTTGATGATCATGGCATGGCAAGATCCGCCTCCTCTGGCTTCCTTTTCTCTCGCATATTCTTGAACAAGGCGGTGCAAAGTTGGCAATTCGGATTCTTTCTTCCCCTCCCCAACACTGTCTTCCACTTCATTAGCTCGTATAGTTGATTCAAGTGCGGAGTTTGCAAGGAAACACAACTTTCTGCTTGCTATATTAAAATCAACATCAAGTGGTTTGCTTCTTAGTAAAGCTTTCATTGAACAGTTCTGATTAGTAGAAAATGACGTGCCGGTCAAATAAAAATATTTTCCCAGCTTCTTATATCCTGCCGGATAATAGTATTCGGTATAACTCGTACGTTGTTATTATCAACCTGATTCTGTTCCATCAAGAGTATAGAACGAACCGAAAAGATGCGACTTGGGGGAGCGGTATCTAGCTACAGTATGCGAGTTTAATTCGTTCTCAATCTTCACTCTTCTTCAATTGATTTTTCTTATCTGCTTCTGTTCGTCCTAAATTCCTATTGTCATTCAAGCTGTTTCCTGGTACGTTCTAGTACGAAGTTTAAAATTCATGTTTTTGGGTATATCAAGTATAATTAACTTTATAGCTTTGTTTGGTGAACCTTTTTCGGCTTATTAGGTTTATCAATCAATTTTTTAATTTCGCACGCTGAATTTTGTAATAAGCGGAAAAAGTAAGGTTGAATTTATCTTTCTAGCTGTATTGGCTGAAGTTAATATAGAGAATCATTTTAGCTATTTTTCATATAATTTTTTATTTAATTTATTAATAACAAATATTTTAAAAAAAATTCATGAATCAGCAGAATCAGTCAATATAGCCATTTTACCCTAAACTTCATAAACTTCAGTAGAATCAGTCAATTCAGCCAATTTTAATGTTACCAAACGGACTCTTAGCTTTTTGTGTTGCTTATTACTCCTATTTGTAATAATTTTTATATTTTGATTCGGTATAGGTGAGACTTATAAAAAATGCATTGAAATTAACTATAATTGATTAATATTTTAATAAAGAAAATATACGGAGTAACTAATATAGTGTATATTAAGGGTGGGCACGGTCCGGGCCGGTTCAGGTAATTGATATATTTTCAAGAAACGCCGGTTTCATTTAACGAATAGGTTCAGTCCGGGTATATCAAGTTTCGAAATAGGAATCGGACCTTACCCGCCCCGTTTGAAAATGGTCAGTTCGGTCCGAGTCCTCGGTTCTTTTTTTTTTGTAAAAAAAATATTACTATGCAAGCAAAGTTTCTAGTAAGTTATAAAGTTCTCAAATTAATTATGTATTAATGTAACCATAATATTTTAAAAATTCAAAATAAAAGTATAAGACAACATTTTAAATTAGTTATAAAATATTGAACCATAAATCTATAAATTACACAATACACAACCACCTTAATTAAAATGTTAATCATCATTCATAAACTAATTAAAAAGATAGCACCATTAGTTCATAAGAAATTAAACTAGTTACTATACATATTTGTCTATGAAAACAATATAAAGCTTATTAAATTTCCAAGTATAAGTAAAATTAAGATAATTAAATGAACATGTCAAACTTCATTGACTAAGAATCTTTGTTTACAAAAAAAAATATTAAAGAAAGAAGGGTTGATGCATATGGAATAGAGAATTGAGAAAAATAATTTAGGAGTTTAATTATACAGACATGAACTCTATTTTTAATAGATTGAGAAATTTCTTCAATTGGAAGTCTTTGTCTAGACACAAGAACATGAAGAGATTTCGTGTGTTGTTAGTATATTATATTATACTAGCATTAAATATAATACAGATTATTAAAATAATATTTTAAAACGGTTCGATCCGGGTACCCATTTTCTCAAAATTTAAGACCCGTTCGGTTTTTAAGTTGTTGAGGTTCCATAAATTATTAAAAGGGCTGGAGTTTGAATGTAGCAATACACCATTAGTTCACCATATTTTATTGAATTAATTACAAGAAACCTAACAAAATTCGAATTCACAAAAAAAAAAAACTCCACCAATTTCAAATTAAGACATTTGATTGCATAATGGTTGTCAGGCCTGAATTAAAACTCCACCTGATAAATGTATACGATTGTGTCATTTTCAGGTTCTACGCATCAGAGGTGATCGTAGCTCTGGAATACGTACACATGATGGGCATTGTTTATCGCGACCTGAAGCCCGAAAACGTCCTGGTTCGATCCGACGGTCACATCATGCTCACCGACTTCGACCTCTCCTTAAAATGTGACACCTCCACCTCCACTCCTGCCCAGCTCATCTCCGGCAAAAACACTCCGACCACCGCCCCGCCGGGAAAAGACCACAGCTACACCATCGCCCCGCCAAAGTTCACCGCCACCTCCTGCATCCTCCCCAACTGCATTGTCCCCGCGGTCTCCTGCTTCGCCCCGAAACGGAAGCGCAAGAAGAAGACCGTCCCGGGAAAGCACGGCGGGCCCGAGTTCGTGGCCGAGCCCGTCGACGTCCGTTCGATGTCGTTCGTCGGGACGCACGAGTATCTCGCCCCGGAGATCGTCTCCGGGGAAGGCCACGGCAGCGCCGTGGACTGGTGGACGTTGGGGATATTCATCTTCGAGTTGTTGTACGGTGTGACGCCATTCAGAGGGATGGACAACGAGCTAACGCTGGCCAATATTGTGGCTCGGGCATTGGAGTTTCCTAAAGAACCGGTCATTCCGGCCGCCGCTAAGGACTTGATATCGCAGCTTTTGGTCAAAGATCCGGGCCGGCGGATGGGGTCAACGATGGGGGCCACCGCGATCAAACACCACCCGTTCTTCCAAGGTGTTAATTGGGCGCTCCTACGTTGTACACCTCCGCCGTACGTTCCGCCGCCGTTCACTCGGGATGTTCTGTCTGATGAAAGCTGTCCCGACACCCCTGTGGAGTATTACTAAACATTAATTGATTAATAAGATTATTAATTACTTCTTGTGATTATGTGAATAGAAGATCATTTAAGGGGAGGTTTAATTATTTCAATTACTCGTATCATAATTCATGAACAAAATTAATTAATTAATTACAAAATTATGTTTCACAAAGCTAGCATGCGTTGTCCGGTGAAGTGTTGTAAAATAGAATTATGTCACGTATGCATTTTGTAACCTTTTGTAATTAGTTTTGTGTATTTTAGTATGCTCTTTTAGGTATTAGTGATACATATTATTATCATATCCTCCCCAAACATTAATATCCTAGTTCCTTAGTATTCAAATTGATGTTTCATTTTTACATCTACATTCTTAAAATTACAATAAAGCCTAAATTTAAATTCAGTTTTTACATTTAGTATGCTCAAATATATTCACTAAATCCATTTGATAATTGTTTGACCACTTTGATTTGAGACATAATCTTGAAATCTTGTTTAGAACGGAGAAATGACTTAGAATTAAGGAATATATACAAATTAAACTCATATAGAAGTTAGAACTCCCCCAACTACTAATTCTTACCTCATCATTTAGACTATGTTTGCTATTGCTTCACTTTAAAAAATGATTTTGTAAAGTGATATTTTAAAAAGTGATTAATAGTAAAAGTTGGTAGTGTTTTGCAATAAAAGTGATTAATGTGAAACAATAAAGTTTGAATGTTTGTAAAAAAGTGATTATATGAAATTATATTTTTCTGGAAGTACAAAAACGTCCTTGCCTGAAATGTCCTTATCGACCTTATACGGAGTACAAAACTACAAAAGTGATTGTGAAATCGGGGGATGCTTGAGCTGAGGGTAACATTGGATTTTACCGGGCAGAGGTGATGGATAAAACTATCCTCAAACTTGATTTTAGTAAATAAACCTGAAAAGTAGATAAAAGCATGGCCTTGGGTGCTTCCAGATTTTGGCATATAAATCACTTTAACTGAAGCTGCAATTTCCCTTTGCAAACACTCAAACCAGATTTTTTTTATCAAAAAACCAAAAGTAATTTGTGAGATGCGTTTTCTCGCACTTAAAAATGAAAGTAATATAGTACGCAAAAAGGGAATTAGGAATTAACTAAATTCAGCAATTAAAATAAATTAAATAAAATGCAATTGTGCGAGATTGGATTGATTGGAAAATTAAAATGCAACTAAACGATTAAAAGGCCCAGTTCTTTCTAATTAATGGGGAAAGGGAACAGGGATTGATTCCGGGGTAATCAGATTTCTGTCTGATCAGACTTAATCACATGAAAATTATTTAATTGAGCAACGTTAATCAATACTAAGTTATAACCGCTCTCGCGGCGTAGAGTACAATAATTTAGGGAACCATGTTGATCTCTCATGCAACAGGTATCTAAATTATTGTCGAAACGAGCGAGTGTACGACCTCTTAATCGTTACTATTCTCTGAGCGAACGATTAGGTTTGTGTGAAAGTGTCCTATAATAAATTAAATCTCTCTTAATTTATGCTATACACAATTATAATCCTAGCTGCAGTTCTAGGTTACAAAAGATATCAATAAAATCATCCAAACACAAATTAAATAAAATTAATGCAATTAACCCATCATGAAAATAGCCCTAAATCAAAATTAACCCCTTCATCATTCTCAAAGCCCTAATTAAAATTACTCACAATTCATAATTGAACAATCAACAAATTGGGATGAAAAGACTTAATTGTCATTAATTAAAAAGTTGGAACTTACAAATAATCCTAGGATCTTGAAGGACAAAGCGGAAAATACGTAAAAACTCGTCATATGTCTCTCTCTAAGCTATGTTCCCCTCAAACAGGGGTTTAGGGGCCTTATTTATAGAAAACAGAGAAATTAGGGCCTGAATAGGACTTTCCGGCGCAGGCACGATGTGCCCGACATCTGTGCCTCCGAAAGAAGCGTGCATCTCAGTGTCAGACACGGCGTGCCCGACAAACATTAGGGTCTTCCGAAATTCCTTCAATGGGCACGGCGTGCCTGACTGGCACTCACGGCGTGCCCGATTGCTTCCTTCGCCTAGAGCTCACTACCACGCACGCACGGTTTGTGTGGCCTATTCTTCATCAATTTCTTCTGTTTCTCGCTCTAAATACTCATGTTGGCTCCTGTGATCAATTCTAAAGCTCTTTTATCGTCAAATCTTCATCGTAAACCTCTCGATGGCCTCCAAAACTCTGAGTTCACTCTCAAAGACGTCTTGACTAGTCCCAATTGCTTCTCAAACGCTGGTGTCAGGCTTAAATCCCCTGATTTTGACTCCAAAAACAGCAAAAACGAACTAACGCACGGTAAAACATGACTTGAGCTAACTGTGAGAATTATGACACCTTTAAGCTAGGAAAATCATCAAAAGTTGATCTCAACACACATAAAATGTGTGTCGAAATACGGATTTATCAAATTGCAAACACACTCTCACTCATCTATCCTCTTATTACTCTAGGGCAACCCCCACCCATGATATTAAAGAGTCTAGGAGGGACTAAAGTTAATGGATAGATCGAATTTATTCCTTTAGTCGAGTTCTAGATTGTTTGATGAGTGAATTATATAAATAGGATTAAAAGAGGGCAAAAAATCATAAATATGAGTAATAGTTTTAAAATTGTCAAAATAAGATTTTTTTTTGTGATTGGACAAAAATACCCTGCCACCACTTGACACTACCGAACTCCAGTGACAAATAAATAGTAATTTCTGTAAATAGGACAAACCAATTCAAGTTTTGTCCGTTTCAATTAAATAGCAATTGCTTAAATAGTACTAAAACTTAATCAAAGTGCATAAATATGAAATAAGAAATGAGGGGTTTTAACTTTTAAATTGTAATTGTCAAATAAGTCGAAATGGTTATGGGTGAATAAAAACGTAATCACAATTGACATGGGGGGATTTGTTTGGTAGCAAAGGGGTGGCACGCAATAATTAATTAATTAGTGGACAAGTTCGATATTGATCGATTCTTGAAGTTAAGAATGTGAAACTCAAGTCAATAGGAGTGTCGGGAACAACGTGGGTGAAGACATTTGAGAATCGATGTAACGGTGGGTAGGGGCCTGTTCCAGGGCCATGCAATTTCCCTCTTTCTCCCATCTCCACATGATCTGTTCCTCTTTTCTCCTTAATCCTAATCCACTTTTTGCACTCCCTATTCTAGTTTTTTATTTGACAAACTTGAGTCGATAACCTCATTGATAGCAACTAGTAATAATGAATTAATAGACCAGTTGATGCAATTATTTAGGCTCTCGATCTTGGATTAGTCCGATCCACATGATTCTGATATTTTGAGAGTTTTATTTGAGCTAGAATACTTTCTTTTCAAAATGGACTTTAATCACAATTGATCCCGCATCAACAGATGTAAATTGGGCTTCAATCACAAACTGACAGATAGCAAGCAAGTTAGGCTCTGTCTTAGATATTTACGTATGTCTTATGCATTTTTACATAGTAACTTCTCATCGCAATTGTTGTGATTCGAATCCGTGAAAATGGTGTGTTTAAGAATGAATGGATAGAATGTGTTGTGTGTAAGAAGAAGTGGGTTCCATTATGTTTGATTAAACTTACATGTTTGATTAAAGAGAGTGTAGTTATCGGTTAATATAATTGTTCCGCATTTTAAAGCCTAGATAATACTGAACTTGTAAGATTTCTAATCAATCCAATTCTCAAAGGAGCCGTAGATACACGTATAACATGTTGAGGCTCATGCTCCATAATTCATTTTATCAATCTTTACAAAAATTTTATATGGATTGTACATTCTCTTAAACAACATATAAATAGATCATCGATATTGTAGTAAAAAGAGAGAATTCTCTAAATAGGAGTAAAAAAGTTTTGAAATTCCAAAATAGGAGTATCATGTTTTTTATTTCCTAAATAGGAGTAAATTTCTGTCAAACATGACATTACTAGGCTTTAAACATGACATTTTCTTCTAAACTTGGCAGATTACTCATGTTCAGGTAATAAAAAACATGATACTTCTATTTTGGAATTTCAAAACGTTTTTGCTCCTATTTAGGACAATTTGTATAGTAAAAATTGCACATCCAGGCCCCGATGCTTTGGTATGAGTGTGTTCATTATCCATGACATCATATGAATTTATAATCAATTGGCATATTGAAATATATTGAAATATATTTCTGATTCATTGGTATATTGAAATATATGTATTACAGAGTATTAATTAATTAAGTTCCAATTCAGCAGCCGCATGGTTTTATAATCGCAATAATAATAATAATAATAATAATAATAATAATAATAATAATAATAATAATAATCGTCCAGAATTGTAGCAACAGCGCTCCAAGTATGGCCTCCGTCAATCGGCAACCTTGAAGGAATACGACGATGACCCACTTGGCTTTGTTAGGTATTATTCGTCTTATTGTGAACGTTGTGGTCTCTCCCTAGCAGGTCTAGGGTTGGTTTTTCCTTAGCAGATCTAAGGTTTGGTTCTTTCGGCCGGTGAATCCTTTCACTTGTGTCCGGCGCTGAGATTGGATTTGAGGCAGATTGACAAGAATCCTTGCCCAAGCTTGACGACATCGAAGCCAGAGTTCGGTGATCGATTTCTTCGTGAGCAGGGTAGCAAGGGCATGGCAACGATGAAGATGACCACTAGCGGTGGATTTGCTACGAGCGCGGGATGAGGAGAGGTGCACGATTTCGAGCAAGCCAGATGACGATTGACAATGGAGGATCAATTAGAGTGGTACCAAGGATACGGCCTCCTCCTGAACCACCACCATGGGTTGTACGAGATGTTAGAGTCCGTTGAAGTTTTCCTATTAGTTGTTTTTATTATGTCATTTGGCTTTCTTGCTATCGTCTATGTTGTTAGATTTGTCAGTGTTTGTGAATTCTGCCTTTTTTTATGTCATTGAGTATGTTTGGAACTATGAGATAGGGATGACTGTGTCAAGCCCGCTACATGGTTAGCGATTTGGGTTGCTCTTTTAGGGGTGACCGTCTCTAAGTCTGATCGTAGGGTTTACAGTCGTAGTTGTTGGATATTAATTGGTGTCAGTTTTATTTTTCCTTTGATTGATGTAATGATCCTGAAACTTATTATATGAAAGAAGGCTAGTTGACATTAAAAAAAAGAGTATTAATTATCGTTTATGCCATTTAAACCTTCATTAAGATACTCATTGAAATCTTATAAATGCAAAGTAAGTTAAGTGAGTTTCACCCCTAAATACTCTAGGCCCCAGCC